GCTGAAAACACTGTCTCTTCTGGGTTCTATTCAGCAATCACAAAAAAAGCCCACCTTTTTCCTAGGCTGTTCCTGCTCACATGAGAGGAAAATAGAGATCCAGCTTTGAAAAAAGTGCAGGAGCTGAAATCACAGTTGAAAATGAGAAGGGTGTCTAGGCAGCCTGAGACAAGTAATTCTGAGGGGACTTTACCTCTTTACCTCCCTTTGTCCCTGTCTGATTTGGCACAACAGAGTGCTTTTCCCCCCACCACCCCCAACACCACTCGCCCCCTAGGACCTGCTAGATCAGGCAAGTAAGTTAGCAAAATTGGTGACAACATTGTTTCTTTGGGTTCACATCACTAGCCTTATGCATTTTTACTCCCTTCATACACTGGCAATTGAGAAAGGGATCCACAGCAGGTACTGAACCTGACTGACAAGCCTCGCATGAATTGAAAATGTCAGAACACCAACAGCATCTAGACCAGCGTCTAGCTGATCACTGCTCTGTTTAAGGCACAACATTTAAAGCTAAAGATGCCTGAATTCAGATTTATCAGGCCAGAATTATGTTTGTTAACAGCAGCTTGGTTTTGAGCTGGTGTACTAGTTTTGACTGGGATACAAGTTCATTTTCTTCATAGTAGTTTGTATGGCTCTGTTTTGGATTTGTGGCCAAAATGATGTTGATAGCAAATAAATCAAAGAACCATAGAATGGGCCTGAGCTGGAAGGGAATTTAAAGATCATCTAGTTCCAACCCACCTGCCATGGACAGGCACAGCTTCCACTAGACCAGGGTGCTCAAACCTCTGTCCAATCTGGCCTTAACCAGAGGTGGGGCATCCACAACTTCTCTGGGCAATCTGTTCCAGTGCCTCACCAACCCCTCAGTAATTTCTTTTAGTCACTGCTAAACAGGCTTACACAGAGTCAAGTCACTTTCTGCTCCTCCATCCCCACCACCAGCAACTGGGAGTGCTCAAGGAGTCAGGAGGGGATACAGTCAGAACTGCTGAACCAAACTGATCAAAGGGATGTCACAACCTGACCATAAGGCAACATTCACAGCATACAGAGCTGGGGAGAAAAAGAAGGAAGGGGTGTGTTCATGGTTTTTCTCTCCATCTAACGAGAGCTGTCAACGAGAGACACTCTCACCATTACTGTGTGTCACAGACTACCAGACAGAATACAGATTCCCAATCTCCAACTACTGAAAACAAAACAAAATTCCATTTTAAAGGAATTTTTTTCAAAGAAAATTGATTCCAGAGAAAACAGCAGCCACCAGTACCTATGAATCTTTCCTACTGGGAGTACAGTGACCACCTGGATAGTGTAACCTTATTGGTGGACCCTCTTCTGGGTTCATCTGTTCAGTATGATTTTATCAGTCACAGAACTCCACCAAAGCCATCTCTTCTACTTACAGAGTATCAGACCAACTTTAGTGGGTCGTCAAGGTCTCACTAATTTTGCTGCTTGATCCCAAAATCTGCAGTGCTCAAGTCACTTATTTCACCATATTGATTTTCTTTCCTCTCCCAGTAGTGATGCAGTAGAAAGTGTGCCAGCAGATAACTTGAGGTTTTTATTGCTCTATAAATCTGTGCCATCATATACCACTGTGACACCTTCAGGAGATGGCAGCTTCTTGTCTGACCACTGCTACTGATCCGTCAAGTAATACAAGAATTCTCTCCTGAGGCAATAAGCTTTCTTTTTAAAAATTATTTTACATTTCTGGTCTCCATTTTTCCTCTTTGGCATACTTCATCTTCTATTCTGTCATTTCTCTCCTGCAGCTATTTTCCACTATGAAACACCATGTTCCATATGCCTCCCTATTGCATCTTGCTCTTTCCTTTCTATATTTAATTTGTTTCCTAATTCACACTTATGACGTCTTTTGCTTATTCTGTGCAAGTCAGTAAGAAATGTGCAAAATTCAATTTTCTAAATTTGTGCAACATTTCCCATTTCTTCAGCTTTTTCCTCTGTGCTGTCTATACACTGGCTGAGTGGGTTTTATTCTAAACTGATTGAACACCAGATTAAGCCACTTATCTCCTGGTATTCAATAATTTCTTTAAATTACGGGGGAAAATAACATTTGGAACAGAGCTCACTTGTGCTTCTTTTAAGCAATGGCTCCACGCAAACAGGCCTGCTATGCTTCAGAAGCTCTCCCCAAGGAGAATCAGAATTTGGAAGGAGTCTGGAGACTCAAGCAGAAAGATGCCTGTAACCCTACCCTCCCCCAGTCATTTCTCTGACCTGTCCTTCCTTCCCCTAGTTTTCCTTTCTCTGACTGATAATTTTAGCTGTGTTCTTTATTCTTACATTTTACATAATAAAGGCCAAATTTCACATTAATATTCTGTGTGTTCTTTCGGCTGACTGTTTAAGACAATGTTACTCATACTTCAAAGGGATGAAGACAGAGATGAAGTTTTATAGTCTTGATGGCTTAACAGAGGTCTGTGCTAGAAAGCCAGCACTTCATTTTCTCAGTCACGCCCTCATGGATAGAGTCTGCTTTGCATACCAGGCCTCAGGGAGCAGCACGGGAAGTACTCTGTGGATTATTTTCCTACCATTGCTAAAGGCTGCTTTGCTTGCTGCCTACAGAAACACATAATAGAGATAAGAAGATAAAGTTTTGACATGGTGGATTTGAATTTTTCTTTTAACTGCTTATATTTTAGCAGTGAGTTTGGACTTATAAACATCTAAACAGACAATACCGAGAAGTGAAATTAAGGAATAAATTTAATTTATTTGAACAGTTAGCTTGAATGCTTAGAGTCGATCAGTTTTTCTGAGCAACACTGCACCTTTTTTTTTCTGCAGCAGCCCCCCACAGAGGTCACAGCAGGTCAACTCAAATATGACAGAAACTTTATTCTTTGGAGTCAGTATTTACTCCTAAGACTGTTCATAGGTCACTACTGTAGTGTTAGGACAGGCACATGGGTCTATTGATATTACCCTCAAAGTATTTAAGAATCATTCAGAAACAGTGCTGTGCTGCATTCAAACTACTTATTCATAATATATGATATTGGCTTGAAATGACATTTCTTCTGTCTTTACAATCCAAATATGATGCACTACAGTGGTAACATGGTCCAGTGCATTTTCACACCTAACATAATTCTGGTGTCAAGACTAAAACCTTCACCCTTTCAAGCCAACAAAGACCTTGCTAACAATGCTAATGTATATGCACATACTAGCACACAAAACTGATTTTTTCTAATAATAATAGTATTAATTTCATTAAAAAGAAAAAAAAAAAGCAATTTTGTCTTTTGATTCCTGTTCTATATAAAAGACCAAGACACTGGATTTGTCAAAATGAAAAAAAAAAACAAAAAAAAGGAGATTGCAAGTTTACTTGAAAAATCAGTCGTGTTTTTTTTCTTTAAAAATAATAATTGCTGCAGGATCAACTGGCACAGATACATCAAAAAACCTACAGCAGTCTGCACCATCTACCAAAAGTCTTGAGAGAGGTTCTGCCTTATTTCCACAAAGCTACATTTAAGAGGGTTATCTCAAATGCAGGAAAACAACAAGGAATATTAAAAAAAAAAGTGGCAAGCTTAGGCTGCAGTTCCTTTCAGATTCTCAAATTTAGCAGGGCAGAGCACAGCCCAGTTAATTCTACTGCTTGGGCTGAATGGACAAACCAGAGTCACTAGGACTGCTTTCAGAATTCACACTGTGTGAGCAGTAAGTGACCACTTCTGAAATGGGTGAATGTTCCTAGGAAAAATAAGTGTAAGAACCAAGCATACAATTTTTGAAGAGATTTCAGTACCTTTGCAAAGTAGTTGTTTTGGGAGGACAATTTGTATTTTGTAGCAGTTGGCGTTTGTCAAACAAAGAGTACAGAACTGTAAATCATGACAGTGGAAGCAGGAACAGCTAACATTTTAACTTCACAGTGCCATTCTCTGGTCTTCTCCTGAGCATAGGAGATAACTGTCTGCATGGTAGCTGCATTTTGCAATAGGAACAGGGTGCCAGAGGGGTTGCCGGAGGAAAGGGACAGCAAATGAGAAGTTAAAACTGCTGATCTTTTGATGTTTGCTCAGCTGGCTTCATCTGTGCCAGGCAATACAGGGACACCCCTCTTGTTCCTAGAAATAAATAAATTTGGCTGCACAGCAAACACAATCTGGCCTGTCAGTCATTCCCACTAGTGCCACTAGTAGGAAATTGAGGGTCACTTCTTACACTTAAACTGATAATGTGGTAAACATCTGATAAATCTCCAAACCTATCAGAAGTCAAGAAACCTATTTTCAACAAGTATGAAAGGTTTGTTAAATCCAACTTCTTTGACTCTGAAAAGGTCTAGGAGCACTCACAGACCTCCTTTCACGTGGGGGGCAATTAAGAAGCCACAGCTCATCCCCTTTAATCTTGTATTTGGTGCCTGCTGGACAATGATCAGGACAGCTGCAAAAACCAGCCAGGTTTACTTAGTGGCAGTACAAACTGGCCCATCTGACACAGATGTGGAGTGGCATGTGGGCACAATGTACCAGGCAGGTGAGAGGACTCCACGTTCACCAGCAGCTCTGACCCCTTCCTTCACTGAAGTCAATCAGGTTGTTAACCTGCTCAGGGTGGTTTCACAGTCAATCTCCTTCTGCCTCGTAGCTGTTACTTTCTGACATATAAGATGGACTGTCGCAGATTTGATTTTACATAATAGTACAGACATAGAAAGAAATTTAAAGAGTTCCTTCTGCTTTCTTTCAGGAACAATACTGCTAGTATCAACAAAGCCAGGATTTTAATATGTGGAGATGGGGAATAATACCATGAGACACAAGATTGACTCCATTTCAGGTTTTGGAAGGACAGACAGGGAATGCAAAATAAAACAAAATATTTCTAACTATAAAAAGAAGTGATCTAAACCAATGAAGTGTTTCCATGCACCCAGGGAATAAAAACCCCTGCAATCTGGAGCTGAAAGGAAATATGTTCAGTGGTGGGTTGCAATGCTTTATTTCTGATTCATAGGTATATATATCCATACAATGCTATTAGATATCCTTGTATTGCTTAATCTCTAATTTAAGTCAGCATAAGTATTTTAACAAAAAAATTTGCAACTACTAATTTATATTTCATCTGAGCACTCTGATACACAGTAGAAAAAATCCATATATAAAAGCTTGTATCTGTGCAATTATACGTACTATATTTCTCTTTCAACAAACTACTGATTTATTAATATTGATATGTTATTGTTAGTATAACATAGAATTGCCTTATCATAACATTAAAAAACTTTTCAAAATATATTAATAAGCAAAGATAACCACACTTTGATCCTGCAATCATATTTTAACTATCACATCAATGCCCCATTTTGTTTTAACGTCCCATTTGGCTTAAACAAATTTCATTTCAGGATGCCACCATTATTCTGCCCATAATAATAATATTAATTTGTAACTTTGCTGCTTAGTAATTTCACACAAAGCAAGTAGAATTAAATTAAACTCTGAGCTGATGTCCACCATCAAAATCACAAACCTCTCATACCCCACATAGGGTCTCAAAGAGTGAATGAAGATTTGTGCTGAACCTCTGCTTTGTGGTGAACTTCACTTCTAGTGGAAACTTTTCTTATCTATTGCATAACACAGGTCATGTGGCTTGTCTTAAGAGGCTTCAACTACAGGTCTACAAAAGATGCAACTTCATGCTACTAAATGCTTTTAATCGTTTAGATCTTAGTGAAGCTTAATTAGCATCAGGAAGTCAATACAAATATTAATCTGTACATAAAACATTATCCCCAATATACTAAGTGACAGCACTTTTATAAGGCAGACACAAGCCAGGATTCAAATATCTGAGAAAAGGTGGAGACTACCAGACCCTAGTTTAGGACAAGGTTACAGAGCAGCAACAATGGTCAGCAGGATCAGGCCCTTCCTTTGTGAAAATTTACAGGAACTGACAGACGTGATACAGCAGACCAGCAAGGCAGACAAAGATACCAGCACAGAGCAGAGGACACATATTTCGGTTTTCATCTTGGCCAATAAGAAAGCACTCTTCTGCCTTTCTGACAACTTTGTCAGTCTTCATTGCAGTAGCTGAACAACTATGCACACAATGACAGACACTTGCTTCACTGCCTGCAGACTCCCTTGCAAATACAAGACACAGAAATGGACAGAACTGGAAATGTGCAAACCACAAAAAATCCCATCAAATCTTTAAATGAAGGACTGAATAGAACTTGCAGTTTAGATCCTACTGAAAACATGAAGGCTCATGCTATACTGTTTCTGCTTAAACTTTATGCCCCAAGAAATACTTTGCTTGTTTTCTCTTTTATCACTAATTCCGAACTGAAAGGACTAGAATTAGACCACACCAATGAGGTGCAACTTACCTTGAATTGTTATGTCTAAGGATTTCTTTACAAAGTGAAAAATCCACAGACACAATACTAAAGCATAGAAAAATCTTGTGAAAAAAGAATAATATTTCAGTGATTATGTAATAGTAAGACTCCCATTAGGACTTCCCAAAAGGCAGGTGAGTTTGGAAAGGTCAGCAGGTTTGGAAAGTGCCTACGTGTATTCATTAGGGTAAGAGAAAACATTTATAATTTTCTTGACTCTAATCTTTTTAAAGTAGTCAAACAGAAATCACTAGATAATTAATTTGCACACTTCTGTAGAAGCGTGATCTGAGAGACTGAAGCTATTTCCCAGTAAGGAGTAGGACTTGCTGTAGTATCTTTTGTGCAAATAAATAGGACCCCAGCAAACAAAGGATGCTTAGGGTTTTTCCCGTTTATGTTTTTACTGGTGTGTTCTGTGACACAGACAATAAATACCATTAAAAGACTTTTTTTTAAATCTAATAGAAACTCTTGGAGCAAGATTTTAACAAATATTCCTAACAAATGAGTATGACTCCCAGCTTTCAGCTCCCAGTAGGAAATAATATTTGATTCATATTCAGAGAAATAATAGCCTTTACAACTGGAGACAGGATGTCATTTGAAGACTCATAATTTCAAAAAAGTGCTCTGGAAGAAACAGACTTAGAAAGCAGCAATAAATTAATGCTCCAAGGATTTTAGAATATATGAAAGTAATTTACAGGATTAGCTGCTTCTAGGAAATTATGCCTAAAATAAATATACCAAACTGAATTATTAAATTAAAATGAATTTCAGTTATTCATCCTCTGGGAAGTCTAATGAGACTAATTATTATTTTTTACTATATCCCAGTTTTCTCTGATCAAACAAGAAGTCATTTAATGAAGATGGAAAGACTTTTCAGACCTCAAGAAAAACAAATTCATAAAAGTATGAATACTTTGAGTCAGAAGGGCCCTTAAGAATCATCTAGTTCCAGCCCCTTTGCCTTGAGCAGGGACACCCCTTCACTATGACAGGCTGCCCAAAGCCTGATCTAACACGGCCTGTCAAATTCAAGAAAGTCCTGAATAATTTCTGAAGTTACTTTTAAACAGTAAAGTTGCTGCTGCTCTGTGACACAAGCAAACTAACACTTATTGTAACAATAACTATAGCATTCAGCTATGCATAAACATTAATATGCTGAAGACAAAAAATTAAAAAATCCCCATCCTCATTGACCTATTCATGAGGCACACTGTTGGTAAAATGGTATCCTTTTGAACAGAAATGGCACACACAGAGAAACCAATGATAGATGATATAGCTTTCCTAATGAAAACTGTTTCTGAAAACAACAAAAATAACCAGGACCCAAAATTCTGCTGTTTCTGTGGCAATAGGACTGGCCCTTTTGGTCTTCCTGGACTGCTGAATAACAGGGGAAACTTATAAATCAAACACAATTGACCAAATCACTTATTGTACGGCGTGGTTGTGATCGTCTGGGTGATGAAAATCCATGTGAACCCTCTTCTTCAAATGCCTGGCAATGATGCTTCTTACTTCAGGGTCATGTCGATGCTATTTATTAAAGACAAAATGACAAAGACAACAACAAAAAATTAATGAGTGCGCTGAAAACAGAGAGCTAGTTATTTCCCCAGTCCTGAGCTTCCACAAAATGTTTACAGCCTTATCTCTCATTTACTTAAATGCAGTAGTATGAAATAACTTACATCCTATGTACCTCTATGAAAATATACATCTTAGTAAGTTCTGTTACTGTTTTATTGAAATTAACAACTCCTTTTTCAGCAACTCCAATCTGATGTGTATGAGGTGGGGGAAGACCAACTGGTGAATTACACGACAGTGTGGCAGGAATGGGTACCCCTAAAAATGTTCCTAAGCATATAGTTTTGCTACTTAGTGCAAAGCACATGTTATCAGAAACTTTAGAAGTATTCTTTAGAGTAAGAAGTTGTCTTCATACATGTTGTCTCTTGATACAGTCTTCCTTAAAGAATACATAATTTGAAGATTCCTCAATATTTATGAACTGTTACACAATGGTTCTTCCACTATTAATTATTTCCCAATATTTCTTTTAAAGTCAAGAAGAAGTGCAAGGAGTTGAAAACAGAACACAAGGGAGCATGACAATAGACAAAAGCCTTTGGAACAAAATGGAAGAGACAACAGAAGCAAACTAAGTACTGGGCAGACTCCAGAGGCATTTCAGCAGAAAGTATACAGAAAAACAGCCTGTGTAAAACAGCTGTTCTCAGAGTGAAGGGATTTATATAGGATGCTATTTCCTGAAGAAATGACATAAGAAATAAGGGATATGATCACAGGAAAACTACTGCCACTTCTGAAGACAGATTCATATTTATGCAGAGAAAACAAATGCCATGAATTAACATTAATTTGGCCTTAACTATATTTATTTAACATAAATGTAAATTCTCTTCTCATATTGCTTTTTGCTGCCCAGTTTATCGTTTGAGAAAAACAGGAAAGCTGTTCAAGCCACAAAAGGTCAAAATCATACAAACACTCTTTAACATGTCATTTTTTTGTTCTTACTTTGAAAAACAGGTCTCATATTGACTCACTATAGACTAAAACAGTGTCTGAGGAAAAAAAGAGATGAGGTGTAATGTCAGTTCAGGAATCAGGAATTTAGCTTATGTTTCTAACCTGTGTACAAGGTATGACAGAGTGATAGCTCACTAGAGCACTGGTTTTTTTTAAAAAAGTGAAAACCAAAGGTTCAATTTATTTATGCAACTTTTTGCTACATACACTTGTAATTATTTGCCTGTTTATTAATACTCATGTTAATGGTGGAATCTTTTGCTGAGGATTCAGGTTAATCTATATAGGATTTCCTGTAGAGTGTGAGACAACAGTGTACTCCTACAGACTTATCAGATGGGCAGGGAGAGCAGAGGCCTCAATGCCTCTGCCCTGGGCACACTGGCCAGGACACACACTGCACTGCTGCAGGGCTGGCTCTCCTGACACGCTGCTCCAGCCAGGAACTGACAGCACTCCTGTGACACACTGCACCTACAAACACTCCCACTGATCCCCAGGAAGAGCAGCACTGCAGGGTTTGCCATTTGCATACTACAGTCATGCTATCAGAGCAACGGCACACCAGAGGACTGACACATTCCCATTTCCCAGGGAACAAGTCCATCTTTTGAAAGGAAAAGACAAAGACGCTTGAGATTTAATCAGGAAAATAATTATGAAAGAAGCTGAGAAGCAGAAAAGCAAAGAGAAGGCACATGTTAAGAGTATGGCCCAGAAATCAAAGTATAAGACAAGACTTTTTAATCTTTGAATGAGAATAGCAAGTTTAAAATTTAGGATAATGCATGCAACCATCTTCACTGTGATCATGCTCCACTTTTTCTATCTGTTTTTAATATAATTTAATCAGAATATTCTCAGGCTAACAATTATATCTCTCTCTGCTTGGAAATGGTTAAGGATACTTCAAACACATTCTCAATGCAACACAAATATAATAAATCTTCAGTATATAACACATATATAAAGTATATATAATATAAATATAACAAAGCTTCAATGCTTTCCTTGTACCACGTTGTTCCTGAATATCACCATAAAAGTATTTAGGTCTTAAAAAAGCTTTAAGGAGTCTACCCAGCCTCAGTTTTTAGCAGTATGGTTGTAAAGTAATGTAAAAATGTAATGACAGTATTAGGCATAAATTCTTACTCCTGCTCCACTGAAGCCATTTCTGGATCATTTGAGAGGCAGCTAGTTCTGGATACAAGAAAAAAGATGAGTAAACATTTTTTTTCTGTGTCAATTTCTTTCTCTTTTAAAATATAACATCAAATTTGGGGATGTAATAACTAACTGTAGTGAGTATCTTTGACAGCACAGACACACAAATGTTGCTATTTTTAGGAATGTAGGGATCTTAGTGCCCACAACACACATTAGTTTGAGTAACGAATTTTTAAGCTATTTCTTTAAGTTGAGGAAGGGAAATGCACTACAGTGATCCCATACATTCAACACTAACAATAATCACTGATGCCTCATATGACTATTTCATTCCCCTTTCACTTGCTACACTGCTGCTCTACTATTTTAAATGGATTAACAAGAAAGCAGCTTTTTTCCACAGAGTTGTCATTGTCATATGCGTATGTTTATATGACAATGTTGCATACACAATGCATTTGAAAATGTTTGAACAGAAGGGATAGAATTAGCATTTCAAGGGTGGCTAGGCCTTTTAGTTTAACAAAATAGTCAGATGGTATCAGATAACTACTTAAGTGAATTTATTGCTTCTGAGGCAGTGTCAACTCCTAGAATCAAAAAGCAGTGGCCAGTGTTTTAGGTATTTCTCTGTGTTTGTTTTAGAAACTAACCTCAGAAGAACTGAAGGAAAATGTGTACTGCAAAAGAAGGAACTTTTAGAAAAAGTACAGCAAAGAGGAGGCTGTAAGTGGAAAATCCTGAAATGCATAAGCAAAAGGAAGGTGACTGGAAAGAAACTTCAAAACTAAAAATCTTTAGTTACAGAAACTGCAAGGGAGAATGCTATACTAGAACCAACAGACACAGACTCCTCCTCAGGAATTTTGTGTAAAATACTCTTGACGAAAGTGCACTGTACACTTTTGAAAGCTCTGCTCCGTGAGACACAGACTGTGAACTTAAGGATTTCTTTGGTACTCTACACCATACTACCACATTATATTCAAGTCAAAGCACAGACTTATCATTCTAAAGTATCTGATCACCACATGGCTTAAAAACTGTATGAATCATCCGACATAATAGGGGAAGAGCAGAAAATGTTTAATGATCCATTTTAATGGAGTACATGATTTCAGTCATTCCCATGACTACAGAAATAATAATCAAAAACAGCAAAAAGTTTTTTTATAGTGTAAGGGTATGATTATTTATTACTGAGATCCAGCAGTACAAAAGCAGTGAGAGGGGAAGTCAATTCTCAAATGGGGCAACTTACACAGTAATTGAAACTACAAGCTGCCTGTTGTACCAAACACAATGTACTACTGCATTCAAGCTATTCCTGTGAAACAATATAATGCCAGCATTCAGCTGAAAGCTATCTTACTTAGCTGTTTCTGAAGTTTCCCTCAGCTCTTCATCCAGTCTGCATGAGTAAAAGTTATTGATATAAAGAAACAGAGAAGCAAGCAGAGCATAAGAGTGAAGCAGAGCAATAGCAGAGCAAAGAACAAATACAGTACATGCTTTTGTAATAAGCACCCAGTATTATTGTATTATTTAGAGCTAACTCTAAAGCTCTTCAGTTCAGTATGATACCATTTATCCTTGTGCTCAACCCACCTTAAATTTGTAAGTCCTTATTTAGCTCGCTTGGAGGCAGAGACAGAGAAGCAGCAGGGGTCTGAGGCATGCCCAGTGGACAGAGCTGAAAGCATTCAGTTGCTCTATCAGGTAATGTTAAACTAGCTGCAGCCTGGGCCAAGTCAAGGACGTTTACAGTTCAGTGAGTTTTATTTGCAAGGGAGGCTGATCTCAACAGCTTGAAGGGGAAAGTAAGATGCCATGTCATTGCAAATCCTCTCCCATTCAGCTGTTGAGGTCGCCTGCAGGTGAAAGGCTGTCACACAGATTCACTCTATTATGAGCAGCAGCATGGGCTAGAAAGCAAGTTTTACCTCATTCTTCTCTTAATACACTTATCTTCATCATACCTTACAAGATAAGAGTGGATGAAGGAAGAGAAAAAATGTACAAGTTCATATACAACAATCATATTTTATAGCGCTTCACTGAAAAACCACCAAGAAAACCACATAACCCAAATTCTGGCAAAACACTGTACTTTCTAAAGGTGGGATTTTTCTTGCCCATAGGTGGTATGTATGTTTCTTGCCCATATGAAGCCAAAAGGTGAGTTGTATTTTTCTGTTTCTCCCCAAGTTTGCAGCAGAAGGGAAGCTATGAACTGAACACTGCTCTTCTCCCTGGGGTATGGGAATAGCCACTCACAGATTCCTTGAATGCACACAGCCACTAAATCTTCTTATTACAATATCTTGACAAGCTTGCCACCAATGGGTGCAATTGTCATCTTTCCAGGTCTGTCTTTTTCAGCAAAATCATGATCTCTCATCTGGCTGCTGATGACGTGAAGTAGGCATTACCCTAAAACTCTTTAAGTACTAAAGTTTATTTGGTATTTACTGCTGAAATGAGTAAACCTTTGGTCTGAGAGGTGAATGGACTTTTTGAACATTTTTTAAGTTTACGGGGAAGAAAAAATGTCTGCAACACATATGTGTGTACTGCCACAGTCCAATAGTAAAACACAGCAAGGAGACAGAAACTCTCTGAGGTTAGATAGAAACAGTAACGTTTCTATCAAAGGTAACCATAAGAAACTAAAATGTTTACAGGAATCTGAATTGTTAGGAATGTTAGAACATTAGGACAACTCTTTGTCAGTTGACAAACAGCCTCTGCTCCACATTCTTATCATCAGTCCACCTCTAAAGAAGTTACAGCAGCAAATGAACCTGAGTGAAAGTCTCTATGACCCCCGATTTTGCAACTGTAATTTACTGTTTTCTCAACTGCTATTGCCAGACCTGAGCTTCCCACCTGCTCCATGGAATTACACCACCAGCTTGACAAAGGAAATTGCTTTACAACTACTATGAAACAGGTGTGAAAACTCCTGCCTGGGTTGAGGAGATCTATGACAACTTCAAAAGCTGTCACTGACCAGTCATAATGAAAATACAATCATACTAGCAAACTACCTTCTAGAACAGGCTATTCAAAACCTGGGACATTTGCTACAGAAGATAGTTAAAAAAAATTCCTGAACAGAACATATTTTTAATAACGACTACATGAAAACCATGATTTTTTCAGTCATGCTTTCAGTTTTGGTATACCACTTCTTTTTGTTGTTTTCAGGTCTGAAAAAAAGTCAGTTAAGGTGAGTAATGCCAATCAACTTCCTACTATTTTTTAACAGATATTTTCCTTTAGAAATGACTGCATTTAAAAAACCTCTTCACATTAGCAGCAAAAACTAAGAAACTGTCTTTCAGCAGTTGTGAATTTAGCCACAAGAATTGACAAGGCAAGGACCAGCAAACCTACAGAATTTCACTGGTCTTCTATTGAATAGGCTATCTTTTAATTAGCATTTCTGCTAAAAGCTCTGCATGACTGAAACTTTAAAACACTTCCACTTAAATAGAGGTAAAAGTTATGAAAAAATATGGCATAGATGATACCTCAGAAAAGGCCAAACAATTTTCCCATGCCCCTAAAGTAAAGTAAATGTTTAATGTGTTTTGTGTTTCCATTACACTGTGGTCTCCTGCCACTGAGTTTGACAAAGAAATGTTTGAGGAACAACACATAATCATTTTTAAGAAGATCAGGAAAGTGCTTTTTGTTTTTCTTACAGTCTTTAACACTATTATCAGTTTGTGGAAATAGTTTCCATTAAGACAAGTACATGCTACCGTAAATCACTTACTTGACAATACTGTCTGGTATATGCACATATTCCATTGGAATCATCTCACGAAGCTCTGCCAGCGTGTTGACGTACTGTATCTTACTGCTGAACTTAGAGCTGAAACACAGGAAAAAAGGCATTAATTAATTGACTTTGTCCCCCAATCTTTTATGACATGCTAAAACCAAATGAAGAAATGTATTAAATGTAATAATTAATTAAGTATTTGGATATTCATATTTCAATTACAGACTGGAGTGGTCAAACGGAGCGGACTGTTAATGATTAATGACTCAGACAATCCATCTGCCACAGCTAAATAAGGCTGGTAAGAGGCAAGTCCTGTGAGTTGGGATAACACTTTTTATCACGCCAGTCCTCTCTAACATAATGGCTCAGGTGTGAAAACTTCCCTGTGGGGAAGAACCAGGACTTTCACACAGAGCCTGAAGGTATTCATCCCTGACATAACTGGTGGAACATAAACGATTCAGTTTCATTGATGTAAGAGGCAGCTCTAACATCTTAGAAGGAAAGGTAACTGGCCATTCCCACCTGAACTTGAGTGACTACAAATGCAATGGACTCTTATGTTTTGTGGGCTTCCCTCACTCAGTGAAGACAGTGACCATAACTTTGACAAGACTGGAAATCTCACAACCAAGAAGACTAGAAAAAGAGGACCAAGGAGATGCCATCAGGACCATGGAGTGATGACTTTTTTTTCTACTTAGTTTGTCTGTGTTTATCATGCTCTTTCTCCTCTCCTCCCACCCACTCTATTTCTTTCTATCTCTCCCTCACATTTACTGCTAAATAAAAGTCTGTGCTATTGACTTCAGCATATGGCCTTGTTTGAACCTTAACTCAGAGCCATCTCTCTAATAATTTTAATAACCATATCTTATCGCAGTTTAGCTGATCCTGAGCCTACCTGAATCACATTATTAAGTCAACGTCATAAATTGTAATGCCTACATTTTAGACACTGTGATTAGTTTTACAGTCAGAAGAAGATGTGTAAAAATTTGGAAAAGATTCAAATCCCTTAGAGACTACTTACATATAAAAAAAGAAATGGAAAGCATTACTTGACATGGGTATAATCACAAAGACAGTTATCAAGAGATTGTGATGACTTAGCATTTCTATTTTACACCAGTTCTAAATCAAACACAATAAAAACTGAATTTCACAATTTATTCCGAAGAGCACAGATCTGATTGTGTCTATTCTTGCTGCAGTGCCTTTCTATGACAAAATATTGTGTTTATTTCAGCTGTGCTATATGATTTATTTATTGTGTTCGTAAACCAATCAGTTGGAAAAAAGACCAAATTGTTCAGAAAACACACTCAAAACACAAGGCTATTTACTTGTCTAACCTAAGTTATTTTAAAAGTGTGGGATTATGAGAAATCTTTCCCATTTGGCTTATAAAGCAATTTTTCACATTGAGTTCTGGTTGTATTTAGATTGTCTTATAATCAATAAGAGTGGCAAGCTCATATTGACCATGTATGTTAAGTGTAGGTCTTGAAAAACATTCTATTCTTTCTATTTACTGCTGACCTGCAGGTACAGCCAGACAACATGAAGCCTTTGAAACAGCTCTGAGCAGAAGGTTACTGCCCCTCCCCTCAACAGATGTATCTTCCCAATAATGCTAAGTGAGAAAACTGAAACAGTAATACATGAAGGTGCTATAAACAGTTGTTTAAGCTTATTCATTGTAATTTGTTTCTGCCCCAATTAGCATCACTAGGCACACACACTGGATCAGAGTGGTGACACTTTAGAGGCAAGACTCACCCACGACTGTCCAGTCACAGCCAAAGCACAGTAACATAGAGATTCTTAGCATTTTATCCAAATTGTTAATCATAGCCTGCAGCATCAGCATCTCCATCTATAGGAACCTGGCAAACTACAAGCCAATCATAAGCTTCTAAAGGTGGTGGGAAGGGATTAAAAAATCTTTCAATGGGTAATTTTTCTTCCTGAGGGTTCTTCTGGGCCCACTAATTCCACTACGGTGACTGATTTCTATTTCCTTCATGTGGGAGTCAGTGTACGGGCACCCCAGATACAGTTTCTTTCAGACTTTAGGGAAAGCATGCTGCCAATAGTGGTAAGTTTCCATCATTTAAATATTTCCATCAAATGCCAAGGATGTTTCATACACTCTTGAAAAACCCCTTTGAAATCTAATTTCTTACCTAACACAGCTCAAATAATTTTTGGCATGAATAATGTATAGGGTTCTAAAAGAGTATCTAAGATCTATATCCGCTACCCCCCTTTAATTCTGTATATTCAGACAATCGTTTGTCAGTCAAGATGGGTATACTGAATTATCTTGCCAGATTTTTAGGCAGAAAAAAGATAAAGCTGAGATAGAATTGAGGCAGTGAACTGAGGCACACTCTCAGTGACTTGACTGCCCCTTACCATTTTGTTGTCTTTCAGGTTTTTGATTTCTACTGTTTAGCTCCACATCTCAGCTGATATACAATTAAAATTATGTTGCTTGCCGTTAGCTATCTCTCTGAAATCTCTGCTTGCCTTGTGGCACATTAATTTCTCACTCTAAAATTCCCACTGTGCTTGTCACGGGCTCAGGGAACAGCTGAGGGCTAGCAAACTAAGCTATAGTCATTGGCTTTCAATCCAATCGAGTTTTTATCTCCTTACCTCCTGAAGAAAGGGAAGGGAACTCATAGTGTTCTTCTGTCCTTGGAAAGGGTCCAAATATCTCATGTCATCCTCCACAAAAGTCACACTAGCCATGTGTCCTGCCCACCTTTTTCAGCTTCTATTTGCCCTTCACTTTCTTCTTGCACCAAGACTGTCTACCTGGCTGAGCTGATCTCTAGTGTGTCTAGTTCTGCACTGCTAATCTGCTTTGCCAGACTATTTAGAGTGAACATTTTCTCCTGTTTTGCAATGAAAAACCTCTAATCACTGCTGCTTAATATGGCTACTTTGAACAAATGACTAATGAATTGAAACTGACATTACTTTTTTAAAAGACCAAACTGTCATTTCTGGGAGGAAATAGGATGGTAACAGAAATACCTCAGGTAACAAATGCAACTCAGCAAATCCTCGTAACTACTGTTGATATGGCAGTTACGTACTGTTTCCTTTTACTCTGGTATTCTGAACAGTAACTTTCAGCTTGGTCTTTAAGACACCACATCTAGAAAGGAGCCCCGTTGTGACATTCTGCCTGCTGCACTTTGGCAGCAATGGGACAACTCATGTGCTTCCTCAACCCCATGTCACTCTATCAGGACAGAGCACCCTGGGACTGTGATCTCCACAGGAGATCTCTCCAGTGTCTTCACCTGCAGACTGTGAGCAGAACTCCCCGAGATCTGTCATAACTCAAATCATTCTCTGTGTGGTTTTGTAGCTGAAGGTTCTTCTCTTGCCTGAAGCAACTCTTTTTCACACCTGCCAGTTTGCCCTCCCTCACCGCATACATACCTATCTTCTGCACTAAGTGTGAGGTCTTTGAAGTTCATAATTTTTTAAAAAAATTGTTTTATTAATCAAACCATTGTTTTTGACAGCATTAAACATTTTTGAAGCCAAATGCATTCAACACCTCAGGGTGCAGGCAGTTTCTCTTGTATGAGCTATGAGCAGCAATGATATTTTAAAAAGACAGAACCGCAGCCTAATCTTGTTCCATAGCCAGGATTTTTAAAATAAGGTGATTATAATTACATGCAGTCCCCTTTTCTATATGCCTTTTATCTGGACTCTGAACAAAGACTATTTCAAGGAACTGAATTCTCAGTACATACACATACAGGTTTAGAAAACTATGCCTATGACTTCTGCAAATAGATACTCATATGGATCACTTTTTTTCCCCTATTCACCTTTGGAAAGTGAAATTCAACTTCCAAAATCCCAACGTGAGCTATAAAATGAGCTTTATCCAGTGAAAGACTAACAGCCACGTTTGATGATGTAGGGTGCTTATGTGTTCTCAATGACATAGGAAATCACAGGTATTTACTACATACCTTATAAAAGGTCGTGTTACAGCCAGAATTGTCCTGATAAACCATGATGGATGAACAATTATAAATGACTTCAAATTCTTCCGTAATCTAAATAACAAAAGCAATAGTTAGAAAAACAAAAAAACCCCACACAAGATAAAGAAACATCAAATACAGTAAACTCTGGCATACAGGAGAGTTACAGAAATGGACACTGTTTAAAATACTGGCTGTGGATCAGACAGGAAAACACCACTTACCGTCGATCAATCATCTGATAGCATTTTTTCATCCAACCCAATCCAGGCATCCTTCTTCTTGGTGTTGCTCCATTCAAGTAGACAATCATATAGTCTTCAGCTACCATCAGCTCTAAGGTACTGATTACATATCTGATGAAAGTACAGATGTCAGTGAGCATAGTCTGTACACTATCTGATTAAGTCCAAACTAAATGAGGCCACTAGGAATAAATTAAGGCAGAACACTTTATGACAATACAGACTTTCCCTTTAAACAAAAGCAAACAGCACTGATCACAGTGGTACCTGTAGATATACAGCTAGAAAACCACAGTCTTACCTGAGTCTTCAAAAATATGTGGCTTCCTTACAATAACAGAGTTTCGTAGTGAGTTTTCAAGTATCACTGGTGAATTTGTTTTTTCTTAAAAAGTAATTAGATCAGGAGATTTTGCAAGGGAGAACATGGCATCATGTGAAGTCCTAGGAACTTCTGGAATTAACTCTTGAGAAACTTCTATTCACTATTTAATCACCAAGTTTGTTCAATACAATAATAAAAGGTGTCAGAAGATACTTTTTTATACTTCCTGTGATCCTTACACTCCTGCTATCAGTCAGTGACTGCAAAATACAAATACTTTGACAGTCAAGCCCAAGAAAATCTGTCCATCAACCTGACATCTGATGGAACAGAGCACTCCAGGACATCACTTCATTCTGCCTGCAAAATACTCCCAACACCCATTATCAGACAGTGCTCTTGGGGCGAAATGCATTCTACTTAGAAGAGCACACTACTCATTCAAATAAGATGGTTTTAAATTCTTGTTTGGAACTATCTATGCACATGATCCACTCAGAAGTCCCTACCTCATTAGGGAGCCGATCATCACAGGAATGTTCAAATTGTTCTTTCCACTATCCAGCCTCAAGGCATGCCAATGTAAAAACCAGAATGCAAAACCACAAGTCACACCTTAAAAACCTGAATGCCTGAGCTCACTCACTACAAAAGACAGCTCTATCCCTAAGCATAATGGCCCCTTTCAGAGTTGTATGGGAATGCCTCACAATCTAATCTGACCCTTAAATTCCTTAGGATGCAGTATCTTTAGAAGAATTGTAGGAAATCTAGTTCTCACCGAGAGTGGTACTTTACCTGGGTATAAAGTAGGCAACATTAACTAGACCAGTTCCATGCATTTGGTAAACCCCATCCAAATCACTACCCCCTCAATGCATTCCACTGCTCATTCTTACCTTGCAGCTGTGCATTCCCTGCTTTTGCCTCACATCTGTGAAGGCTGATTTCTAACAGTGATATAAGAAAGCAAGGGATTGCATGGACATTCTGATGCATAAAGCTTCACTTAATAGCTACTTCAGCAAAGCTACTATTTGACAGGTTTTAAGATTAGCCCTTCCCACAGGGCAGAACCTCTACTGCTTTAAAGGCATTTAACACTGAAACGTACAAGTTTGTAGGTACAGGTGTGTAAGTATGTATTAAAATAGTGTAAGATTTTCAGTTGTGGAACACACAGTCTAAAATGGGCAAGTTATTGACAAAAATATCAAATTATACCTATAGAATTATTTCTTATTATTTTACAATAATGGCAATTTCTTAATTATTTGAAAAGATGGACAGTATTTTTCTCATTGACTAGAACAACTGAATCACACAGAAAGCAAAGTGCTGGTTTTGTTTTCAAAATGTAGTTTTTCAAATTGAGATTATTTTAAAAAATTTTCATCTGTGGAATGGCTTTAATCTGACTTCGAGGCAGCCACAAATTAAACAGTAGATTTTTTAAATGTGGTTCTGCATTAGCTACAAAAACTGCTGTAGAAGCTGTTTCAAGCATTTTCACACAAATTCAGCCCTTCAAAGACAATTTTACAGAATTAGTCAATATAAAAAAATAGGAAGAAGATAATTGGAAATGTGAAAGAAATTCAGATGGGAAAGGAGCTATTGAGGACAATTGTTAATCAGAAGCTAGAGGTAGTTTATATGCTGCCAGAAACATGCTGTATAAAAAAAGAGATTCAGTGGTTGGCAGGTCTCTCCAGATTCCTATGTAATTCAATAGTAAAGAATTACCAAATATTTAAAAATATCAGTTACTGTATATTTAGCAAACTGTTGTACTCCCTCTATTTCCATGCAGACCTAGAATGGAAAGAAAGTTTTCTTGTAGAGAGCCAATTGTCTACAAGCCTTAAACTAAGCTGCAAGTTCACAGCCAACATGAGAGTTCATTTATACTGCTACTCCAGAAAAAGGGACTTAAAAAATTGACTTCAGCAATATCCTTATTTCCTAGCCATGTGGAAAAGGCTCTTAAGGCTTTCTCTGCAAAGTTAATTTATCACCAGCTCTATCTGACAAGGGTCTTGGGTGAAGACAAAGAACAACTATTGAATGTCAGTCATGGTACAGTCAGCTTTGTTCCTTTCTTATCAGGTTAAAACCACTGAAGTAATTCCTTCCTCTCTTCTAAATCACTGGGTATTGCGTGTATCAGTTACTGTAGATGACACTGAGTTCTTAAAGGCTCTACCAGGCAAATGATACCAGTTGTTCTGACCAGAAACTAAAACATTGAGTCTTGATTTTCACACATAGAGACAAGTGTTAAAGGCACTGGCTGCCAACAAGTGCATCTTCACAGGCTGGAATATTAAGGAGACCTGGGTCTGTGCTCTCAGTGCCTTGTAAGCTGCAAATGCCAAAGGCCAGGTCTCCCACTGGCTTTAGAAAAATACTTACTGCGTTTTAGCACAGAAAATATTGGAATGATTGATTTTTTAACAGCTGTAAGTGGAAGTAGCTGAAGGCACTTCAGGAGAGAATTGCCTTCAAAATTGTGGACTGCCAAACCACTTGCTATTAGGAATAATTTTCCTGTACTAGATTTGGGGTTATGTGGCCAATTTGTGTCCTGCCCAACTGGTCCCTGCCACTTCTAGCCGAATCAGAAGTAGCTGGAGTCAGGAAGCATAGTTAGAGATGCATGTGTCAGCAATTGCTATTTATTCTGCTTTTAAAAAGCAAGTGTCAAAAAAAGCCCAGTAACTCCTAAACCAAAGACAGTGAAACACTGTAAAGACTGTAGCCCCAGCAAGGTGAAGATATTGCACCTCTTGGCTTTAGAGAGATACTGACAGTCAGATTTGGTCCTGACAAATATACCTTAATTTGGGAAGGTGAGTAGGTAAAGGATACCAAAATCCACTGAGCAGTTTATCTAAAACTGCCATTTTCCTTGTCACTCCCCTTCTAACGGCCAAAATTACCTCTTAAGGAAAGACAGGTTACCTCTCACTGCATAATTCTGATCACTAACTCAAAAGACTTTGTCACACTGCTCACATATCACTCACAGGAAAAGATTTTCCATGACATAGTTGTAATCAGTTCGACTGCTGTCTGGCAAGAAGCATGCCGCGAACACAATGATAGCATTCAGACCATCACCATAGTATCCTGTGGAAAAAAAATGAAAACGCATTTTTATCTTTGTCAAAGCCTTTTAACAGGATTTTTTTAAAATCCTGTAATAAAGCTACTATGTCTACTGCTGAAGCATCCCAGAATGCTTCATACCGAAAGCCTGAAATATATGAACTATCATAAAATGATAAAGAAGTTGGATGGTCAGCTAAGCTGAATCCTCAAAAACCACATATAGCACAACTACTAGTAAAGTTTTTATAGTGACCAGCAAAAAAGCTTTTTAAGGCTTCTACTTCTGGTTCATTGCAGCTCTATAGCAACCATGTACTGAATGCTCACCTCAGAGTGAGTAACAAGGGGCTAAAGAAAATATCCTACATTTGTTGTCCTGCATTGTTTGAATTATGTTCAGCAAAGTCTTGCAGTCCAATCCAATATTGGCCTGTGCAGCTCCAAATGGCTTTAGACCATTACAATTATGACTGCACTCCACTATTCCTTAAAAACTCCTGGGGAGCAGTTAAATACTTTGCTGCAAGTTTTGTTTAAATTACTTTTCAACCTTCAATACTCCAGTTGTCCAATACTGGCATTCTCTGGGCTGCGTCACTGCCTAATGATAGCTATTAATCTTCAAAGCTGCAGCACTACCATTCCAGGGCCCAGCACAGTTGTTTATTATCCAAAAGAGTATGTTTCCTTTTCGTGATGGATTAATATTGGTTAATCTTCTCCACAACCCTTTGCAGCTGCTATGGATTTTCTGTATTTATCATGAATAGTAAATAAAAAATATTCCTGCATTTCAGTTGAAAGTTTTGCTTAAAGGATACATGCAATAAGGAGGGAATTTGTAAAGATGCTGTAGGAATGTCTGTAGGTAGATAGCACTAGCAATGCAGAGACAGAAGACAGATATACTGAGAGAACACGCAAAAACCTTTTGAGTCTAGAAAAAACAGACACTAATGGAGAGACGATAATATTTTTGAAGGAGACTTCAATTCCCCTCAGGAACATGTTTTCATGACAAAAATTAAAGGTTAATACTAATACTTAATCTTTGCAAAAGGAGATTCTAAGACTTTTACAGTGCTTTCTGGATACTAGAGAGCAATATCGAAGCCTAACTAAAGTGCTTATGGAACTCAAGTCCTGTTTTCAGCACATATTATTATTCGGCTAGATTATTTGGAATTGTGCTGGTTTTGGCTGGCAGAGAGTTAGTTTTCTTCACAGTGGCAAGTATGGGGCTGTAGTTTTGATTAGCACTGAAATCAGATGGCTGATTATATAGAGATGTTTTTGTTATTGCTGTTCAATGTTCACAAAGCATCAAGGCTTTTTCTGCTTTTCATTCTGCTCTCCACCACACAGACAGCAGGCTGAGGATCCACAAGAACTTGGAAGGGGAAGGGGACACTGCCAAGACAGCTGACTGCAACTGACTACAGGGATATTTCAGAACATATGGCATTGTGCTCAGGAGAGGAAGAAGGAGGAGGTAGGAGGGGACATTTGGAGTAATGGCCTTTAACTTCTCAAGTGTTTTGTGTGATGAGGACCTGCTCTCCTGGAGATGGCTGAATACCTGCCTGTCTTTGGGAAGGAGTGAATGAATTTCTGGTTTTGCTTTGCTTGTGTGCACAGGTTTTGCTTTATGTATTAAATTGTCCTTATCTCAACCCAGACTTTACTCGTTCTTACTCTTCTGATTCACTATGTAGGAGTGAGTGACTGACTGTGTGGGGCTTGGCTGCCAGCTGGGTTTCAACAACAACAAGAAAAAGTATTTCTCTCCCCCTCCGGTTTACAAATAGGAAAATAGGGAGGACATTTCTTTCCTTCCGTAAATTTAATAACATTTTAAAAGACTTTGTAATAAAGCAATCTGTCCAGCTGGCAGGCACAGGAATTTGGCAGTAAGAGCACATTATGGCAGGTGCATCCACTAAATTACACAGCACAGTTTGCAGTTCATGGAAAGCAAAACAATTATGTGCAGATGCTAACTAGCAACACACAGAAGAAAAATCCACAGATAAATCTAAGCCACTTTTTCTCACACATGCTTGAAGAGAAGGAATGTTCACCCTAGGGACAAGTGTATTTTAATTCATCACTAAAAGCCAATAAAAGCCATTTGCCTAAAATCTCAGTTAGCCTAAGCAAAGAAAAAGATCTCTAAAAAATTTCTCCATTAGCATATACTGCAGACAGTCTCAAACCTAGGCTGCCAAATCTACTCTCCCCTTTCCTATTTTGTAGCTACCACCTAGATTCTGTGTTTGCTGTTATCTGTCATTTGGTAGGGAGGCATGTTCAGTAGATCTTTGAATCATCAAGAAACCGTTGAATTGACTTCCAATTGACTAATTTTAGTCAGAAACTATTATTCTTGAGATTAAAGAAAAGACTCCTGGCCCTCTAAACACTCCACTCAAGTATTGCCAAAGGGAACTTCATAAGGAAGGGGCCTTGCTGCCATAATGTAGAAACTGTTCAAGTTGTCCGAAGTTTTCCACATTAGATGCAACAATGTGATTTGGTTTCCTTGTCTTCAATCTGCCACTTTATAAATGCAGAATTTAATCCAGTCCTTAACTTACATTGATTTGCCTAGATATCAGGAAAAATTTCCAGTTTAACCAGCAGCAGGCTGAAACTTATTGTTAGATAAGTTGTTTTTTATGATGACTTAATGCTATTGACTAATAGCAAAACACCCTTTCAAAAGTTAAAAGAAACCCTAAATGCTCTTTATCTTACATTTGAGTGATCTAACAAAACACCAGACATGTAAAATTTGAATTCATATTATTTCATATAGAGAGGTCAGCTGAATTACCTACTCTCCCATTAAACACTGATTTTTCACAAAAGCTGATATAAACATAAACTTCAACATCTACTAGGAAATATACAAGTTTTTCCTGCAAATGCATATCGACTAGTCTACAGCACACAAAAATATATAAATAAACAACATTAGCAAGGCCCAAAAATATTTTGTTTGTTTGTTTCATAAATTAAGCCATCTGGGTATGTTGGCTAAATTGTGTCTGAAGTGTCATCACATTCATAAAACTTTGATGGTAATGTTGTAGTAGAAAAATACTTGTTTGGAGGTCTAAACATCTTTATTAATTCTGATTAAACCTTCTGTACACTGGCCACTATGAATACTTGTAGGCTAGCATTTAGCTGCTTTTAATGTAAAAATTAACAATAATTTATTTATGTAATTTTACCAGACAAAGGCTCAACACTGAAAACATTTTAACTTAGTATCTTTAACTAATGCTGCAGATCAACAAGACTGTGACAAAAGCATCCCCATATAAACTCATAAATCTTACCTCTGAGATGCTATGCTGCCTGTCTCAGTTTTTGCAGGAGCAATACAATTCATCTTAACCTAATACCTTCCTTAACAGATAGCAAAGAGTGTCCCCCAGAAATACAGAATCTAAAGATAATCCAAATCTGAGACACCAAGGAAAAGGCACTTAGAGTAATACTTATAAATTTGAATTAATTTATACATAAGTGTACTAGTAACACTGAAACTATAAATTCTCTGAGGAAGCTGGGAAGCAGATAAGGAAATGAGAAAATATAGCAAGCACATGGGGCCATTTTCCTACTTTAAATGTTGTCTTTGATATACTATTTGATAGTTATTAACAAATTATGTAATAAGTCCCACAAACCAGTTCCTGGTGAAATGCTGCTGACAACTACAAATGGCAGAAAAATAGTATAAGGTGAGTAGCCATATGAATGGAAGCCCCAGGGAAAAGGATCTTTTATCTTTTGCCACTCTACTTGTTTAGATCTGTGCAATCACATGCATCATTCAGCAAATCACAGAGTGTTATACTTCCTTACATGAAAGGTTTTGTCAAAACTCACCAAATAAAGTTTTCAAAATTTTATTTTGCTGTAGGTCAAAAGCTTTTTTCCTTGTCCCAGACAGTTTTACCCTGCAATGACCAGATTGTTCCTGACACATATATGCCAGTATGCTGATTCCAAAATAGTTTTGAATTTAAAATTCTTATTAGTCATTGCCACATTGAATTTAAAGCCTGGCTGGTTTCAGCCAAAGCTGAAAAATAAATTTTCTCTCCCCTTGTCAATATGATAATGGAACAAAAATAAACATAAATCATGATCAATAAAGCATGAATTTTTTACGTCAATTTAAAAAATGCTTACAGCTGCTCCTACCTCCATGTGAAATGACCTTTTTGTATGGTTCAATGACTTTCATATCAATTCTCTGCTCTTGTTCTCCAATAACCACCGTTCTCCACAACCTGTTGTCCTCTCGCTCCTCTTCAGCAGAGTACTCAGGGATTGATTCAGACTCCTCCTGGGAAGCATCCTTAGCAGCAGTCTGCTCTTCTGAAAAGGAGAACTGTATATATTACCTCTTCCTGTTAAAGCTCTAAATATTTTTGCTGCTACATACATTTGAGATGGATGACTGAAATTGACTAGATTTTTACCATACTGATATAAATAAGAGCAGAATGACATATATTTGAAGTAAACTCTTCTTTCTAAAACATTATTCTGTCTCTGCAGTCATAAGAACAGAATTTGAATTGCAAGTCAGTAAGTGAGATAACAGTAAACAGAGTGATAATGACATAGACAAGAGTCATTCTATTTGAAAATACTAACAAGATCTATGAGAATTAAGAATAAACTCAAAGGAGCAATTTTAATTGACAAGAACTAAAGAACACAATGTTCCACAGCTGCCCTCAAACCTTTCTATGTGTTGGGTTATCTACAGATGTGCCTCTCTGATTAAGGCTTCTTCTTGAACCACTAATACAAATCAAAGTATATTGATCCTCAAAACACACTAGTTTATCATAAGAATTAAAAAAGTTACTTATGAAATCAGGAATATGATAGTATACTGTATGTATACCACATATATTTACATAGAAGCTACAGGCACATATACATACATGTACCAAACTATTACTTTGTAAAACTGAATTATCCTATAAATCCTACCAATAATTTGATGAAATTATCTGTAAAGATCTGTTACAAACACCAAGTATCTCTAAGCCCACAAAAAAAGCTTCTAAAAAAGACAGGTTGAGCACATATTTATTGGAACAATAGGACTAACAAAGTCTCAATTTCTACCATTGCCTGTCTTGTATTTTCTGTCCCTAAACCAAAGTATAACTACAGAATTATACTGGCAGAAGGTGCCCCTCTCTGATGTGGATTGTCTCATGTGCAATGAAATCTGAGCCTTTAAACAATTCTGTACTTTACCTAGTTTCTGCCTGATGGAATCCTGAAAGAAAGTGAAAGAAAGGAGGAATATTTCACCTCTTTCCTCACTGTCTAAGTAGCTAATGAGTTAAAAACCTAGACATAAATAAAATTGTATTAATGGTGGAAACAGGGATGGAAAATCAAGAAATATATATATGTGCAATATAATGTGACCATGTAAGCCTTTTTTTCCTTAAAAACTCGAAATGAGTTTGAGGAGATCTAAGGTTGGAAAAAAGGACAGTCTGACAAAACGTGTTTTTTTTTCCAGTATAGTACTTCCAACTGGTTTAACAGTTGCTGCTCAGCAAATTATACACTGATGAATTGAAGAATACATTCATGCCTTTCTCAGGGCACAATCCTCATGATGTTTAATAACACCATTCAGCTTTGAAATACCACATACTCTGTGACACTGGGAACAAGCTTACAAAATGCATAACCCCACTACCTCCAAACCCAGGTATCTGAATGCAATTGTTTATGTTGTCAGTTTTACAAAGGTACTGTTGGTAGCAATATGAAAATTACATGCATACAGTCAAGATAGGCAAACTTTGAGAGGCCATTGCAGGGTAGCCCATTCCTGTAAGGGTCTCCAAGGACACTATTATGCAGCTCAGGTACATTTAGAATAGACAGATGGGATTATCAACACAGCCTACAAAGACTGTCTGGTCAGCTGATTCCTTCAGAAGTACAAAGAACATTACTGAGGTAGAGAAGTGTAGCTGGCGGAACAAACTTTGATAAAAAGAGGCTGGAAAAGAGGCTGGGCTATGTACATGGCTGACCAATGTTGAAATTGTATTTGGGGTTTGATTTTTTAAAAAATTACTAAAACCCTGATAAAACTTACAATGTTGAAATTGGATACATGAATTATATTTTAATAGAAATGGTACTAGATTGCCTCTTCCTGATTAAGTAGCTCTCCTTTACTGCCTGGACTGTTGATTTTGCAGAGAAAGATGCACCAGTGTGAAATTCAGAAAGGAAATAAATACCTGCAGAAAAAATAGTAACTATTCGTACTTTATAAATATGCTGCTTGGAGAAAAGGCCTTCACAGATACTGATATATGGTTTTCAGAAACTACATTTTTATGTAATCTAAATAAATAATAATAAAAAGCTCATTTCAGAAACTAGCATGGCTTGTAAAGGGAATGTTGGAATGTATGGTATTAGTGACTAAAAAGCCCCACCCCATGAAACTGATGATCAACCAACCTCTGAAGAAGTCAGGTGCTAGTTCAAGACAAATACTTTAGTACTTCTGCTCTCATCTTTCATGCATATTGCAGTTGTGATAATTGTTCTTCACCATTCATTAGAAAAAGTGGGTCTCAGTATTAACTTATAATACAGAGATATTTTTCAGTGATGAGGTGAACTCCTGAACCATGGTAACAGTCTTGCTTTCCTCAGCTGTCTTTTGTAGTTCAAAGGGACCTTCAACAGTCTGATCATGACAAAAGTCACTGTTCTTTCTGGTCTGTGTTTTTCTTAGTATTTACTTTTCTGGGTTTGGCAGCAGTTAGAAACACTGAACTGTGGGAGATTGCTGGTAACATCGTGATGAGTGCATACCAGCTAACAGCAGAGGACAGGAGTACAAAGATAACAAAGGCTATTTACCATGCAAATAAGCCAGTCTGCACTGGTTCTTATAACTATCATCTTAGCTATCAGATTAACATTTACATACAGCCAACTTCTTTTATTGCTGACTTATTTAATTAAAATGTTGGGAGGTTTTTTCTTGGTCTTTTCTATTATTTTCATGGCTCATCTCAGAGGATGATATTTTTACTATTAACTATCTAAAATAAAACTACAGAACCATATACATGTCACCAACACCAGAGGGACGCTGAGCTCTTCACTTAAGCATTTGGGGAAATTTGTCTAACTTTAAGAATCATCACATTTAGAAAGCAGAAAATGGGAGGAAATGCCATCAATACAACTGCTACAAATATTACTGGAGTTGAATTTAACTACTTGAGGGTTTAAAGGAAACATCTGTTCTACTGCAGACAAGAGACATTTTCTCTCACATGGTGGTCACTACAGAGAAAGCATGTCAGAGTGTGTGTGTGTTAGTTTTAACCTTCACTATGAAATCTTCTAACTATCAAGCAACTCATCACCACACTCTGCATCTACCCATAAGGAAATCAGCCTCCTCATCAGAAGTAACGTTACAGATGCTAATGCATGATTGAGTACTCTTTGGCAATATCATTTAAAATAATGCAACTGTTCTTGTATGCTCCAGCAACCTCACTAGCATTAGGGAAAATAAATGCATGGGAAAATTCAGTTTGAATGGATCAATTTTTAAAGTTTCTTTCTGCTCTCAGCTGTAAAATGTTTACACTTGTTTCCCCCTCAAATAGCTTGTGATCTGTTTGTGTTTACATCGGTAATTACAGTTCTTACATGATTATGTTTTATAAGGTACTAGCAAGGAACAGGAAACACCCTATTTTGAACATTCATGAAACTAAGTGAACAGAGTAAAACTTCTACGTCATATTTCTCCAAGAAAAAAACATTAATACATGAAGAAAAATGAAGTTTCCATTGCACACTTCAGGGTACATCTGTATTGTACAACTAGCCCTGCTTAGAAAGGACATTAAAATTAGTGGAACAAGGAATTCTGCTCTTCCATCATCACCTGAGCTAGCTTTATTATGCTATCCACAGACCTTCCATACCTCAGCTTTCCAACCATGGGAATAAAAAGCAGAGCTTTCTTCCTAACAAAAGACCTCTCAGCACATTATGTCTACCTCACTTGTATGCTGCAAGATCTTTGGTGCAGCCAACATATTTTGCACAAAGTTATATTCCTAAATATGAGCAACATAACTGTACTCTAGAGCTGGCCAGAGCTGCAAGAAACTGCAGTTAGCTACAGCTAGCTACAGCATTATCCACAGCAACAGTTAGCTGCTCTCTCCTTCTTGAACAATTGTTTTCAGACAAGTCCCATGGTACTGGACAAAGACAGGACTTGGAATTTCATTCTCCCTAGGTAGCTGCTCTTTATTAATTCAGCTGAACTATTTCTTTCTGCACTCTGAATAAACAGAAGGAAAATACTTTACACAAGAGGAATAAAAAAATTAGCAGACAGTAAAAATACCTGGATGCCTAGCATTGATGAACCCTACATTTACAATCTAGAATATTACCTTGTCCAGCGTATTCAAAAGAGTCAGCTTCATCAGGAGTGTCAAGGTCATCTACATTAATGTCAATTTCATCAGGTGTATCCAAATTATCATCAGACAATATAGACCCTTCACTCTGATCCAATGACAGATTGATGTTTGGAGCAGTGAGCTTTATCCTTCTGGGTTGGGAACCATTAAGATCAAGTGAATTGGGAGGTTCTGAATAAAAGGGAAAAAAAAAAGAGAGAAAAAGATCTGTGTCTAGTCCACATAGAATTAATCTCCCAGGTATTTGAAAACTACCTTTAAACACCCTGGGACAGATCAATTCTAGTAACACCATGACATTTAAGACCATCTAAAACAAAACACAAATATTAGCATTAATGTTTTATGAAATGAAACAAAAATCTACAGGAGCAGCAAATGTAGTTCAGAGCTCTTAAATTATGGCTACCTCACTTGTAGATTCATTTTTTTGCAATCATCAAACAAAAATAAGGTTTTGAACATGCTCTGACCCACAATATTTAAGAATTTAAAGGGCAAATCCAAATCAGGTGAGTTATGAATCAAGACATTACTGAGTCCTGGGAAAATTTGTATGAGTTAAAAGCCATTGTAAATATTTTTTTTAATGCACTCATTGCTAATTTACAGATACTTACATCTTTAGCTTTAACTATATAATACCTTACTCAATACAGTAACAAATAAAAAAATCTTTGAGTCTCTTAATCAGTCTTAAATATAAGTAGTATTCAACAAGAAGAGAGCTAGATATACCTTTGCTCCTTGCCTCTGCCTTGTATGGCACATTTCAAGCTGTTCTGTCTGAGGTAGTTCACTTAGACAGAGGTCAATTATAAAATAGATAACACAGACTATTAAAACTTTCCAAAGACTAAACAAGTGGTAACAATGCCCAAGAGAAAATGTCACACTGTAATTATCATTTCTCAAGTGAAGAAGAAAATTGACTAAATCAAGCAAACTCGATGTTTTGGGGATTTTTTAACACTGAACTGATTCTTTACCAGCACAGAAATATAATTCTAACTGCATAATTAAATGCCACAGGAATAAGATACAATTAAGAAAATGAGCAAGAGCTTCTCACCAGGTCTCATCTCCGTAGAACTGGGGCTTCTGGGGCTTAGTACACCCTCAGCTAAGGGGATGTCCATTCCCATATCCTCTTGTACCAACCTGAGAGGTAAATACAAAGTATGATCATAAAGAGATGTACAGCTCATGATCCTATATAGAAGTGAAATTTCCTCCAACATAGCCAGTTCAGAGGTCTGATTACAAAACTGATGTTGCAAACAGCAGTATTTCTCATTTTACACAAGTGAAGTTGGTCTTTGGTTATCAAGCAAACGGGAGACATCATTGCAAGGAGCTGCAGCTACTCTTTGTAAAACAGTATATTCATGACTGTATACACAGTTACTGTATAGCAAAAATGAGCAAGTCTTCCCTTTTTTGATATTATGTATATCTTACAGCAATTCTGATCCAAATCAGTAATACTAATGCAGGTAATCTGACACACAAAAAAGTTCCAAAAGTAAAAAAGTGAGAACCAAAACTACATGACAGATTTTCAAAGATTAAATTGTTGCAAATATCTTACCTAGACCCCATTTTTATGTAAGTAAATATTAGAAATTACATTTAACATACATACATACATACCTACATACATACCCACATAAGAATAAGAAAAGGAAAATTCACTGAGTAGTAGAAACAGCAACAAAGATAGTTAAATGTTTAGAGCTAGTTGACTTGAACCATTTTTACATCTACTTGTTATTTAAATATTTTACTAAGTACTTGCTGGAAGAACAGTTCAACTGCAAATAGGAAACAACATAATACATTTTCAGGACACTTTTAACAGCCACCAAACTATCTGCAAATGCATGACTTCAAGATACCTTAATTTACTTTATCATAATACTTGTAGCGTTTTATTCTGCACTACTGTTCCAAAATGTGTTTTCTTTTTCTTTTTTTCGTCACAAAAGCTGAAGAACAGACCCTTCTTAGAGTACTTTGACCAACAGAACTGTGATGAGATCAAAGCTGGTAGTTTTCCCTGCAACAGCATCAGCTAGCTATGTTTTGAATGATCCAAGTGATTCAGCTGAACAGATCTGAATAGGCGTGGCTTACAGCTCTTGCAGTTTCTCCCTGTCTTCACTTTTCCAATAAGGAGGACTACCCTCATTATTTGATTGTGTCCAGACAAGACTCTTTGGTCAATCACTGTATCAGAGTAGGCTGTGATTTCTAGTTATTTCATATAAATTATATAAAAATGTGCATATTTAGGGCTGCCAAAGGCTTTACTGTGCCTAAAGTTGAAAAAGAACTTTACTTCAAGACCCATGAGATCAAATTCCCTGTACAGCCCAACAAACTAGTAAACTCCCAATTTTCCATGAAACCATACAGAACACAGTTTAAAGCTATGGTCAAACATGTTTGTGCTGCTCAGCTTACAACCAAGCCTTGTATCTTAATAAAAACTGATTTTACTAATTTTGATTTTATTCCCACATACTGTATAGTATGACTTTCATAAACACAGAGATGAACAGCTTAATGATTTTTACAAAACATATCAATTCTTGAATATGTTTGATTACTGTCAAAGAAGGCTTGAAACACTTTCTCTTAGGATACACAACAGAATAGTGAAGAAATTCGATCAAAGTACCCTGTTCATGAATAAAATCAAGGCAGAAATTGCCTGTAAGTTACCAGTTCCATTTCCCCCTACTCTGTACAATGATCTGTATTTAGAAGTACTGAATACCACCAGAACTTGCATAGAAAATGTAAATAAATCATTAGAGTCTTTGGCTTTTATTTTTTATGTGGTTTTTATACAATCCATAGTAAAATATGTGTAATGAAGTCTGATTCATTCATCTGAACTAACTAAAGAAAAATCCTAATTAAAAAGAAGAGCTGTAAGTAACAGCTGGCTGTAGTGGAGAGGGTGTGGGGAGAATATGAATATTTCTAACCCATTTTAAATTCAGATTTGTATTTTATGTGGGGCTGTATTAACCTTTTAAATAAAAAAAACATGAAGAGTTCTTCAATTAAACCAGCTCAGGATTAGTCAGATGATGACTTATGGGTACTCAAGGGTTTATATTTTGGTTGAAATTCTGTATTATAGAATTTTTGTACTGTCATTCAAAAATTAATTTGTGGTATTTTTTACAGCTTTATCAGACCAAAGGGCAATTCCTTACCTGCAGAACCTTTGGAAATTACTGGAGGGAATTATTTGAAAGGAAATATTCAAAGCTGTGTGAAGAGTAAGGACTGAAATTTCAGGATTTCTGTATTAAAGAGACACTTTTCTCTGTATAAAACAAAAAAATAGTTTAAGAATGAAGATCATCTTTTCCTCTGTATGAAAAGAGCATGACTGAGTTTTACATACTCTATGCCTACAGAAACAGTGACAATTATAATTTGAAAGAAAGCAATTTCCCACAAGTAAGTAATTCACAAATCTAGAGCTGCTTAACGATTTTGCAATGCTCAGAACAGAATTATCCTAAATCATGATGTTTCCAGGATTACCTCAAGACTGCTTTTCTCCCTGTAGCATCCTCTTTTTATTCTTTTCTCAACACATATGTACATGAGTTTGTATTGTTGCTTTCTCTAGGACCTCTTACACTTTCACAACAAAACTTTGAGGTATTTTTCTGCTTTCAGTGAGGCCACTGCAGCTGAGTTAAACCAGAATTTTGTATCATATTTGTAGAAGAACAGTATATTTCTAGGTATTAAAAGCTGCATGTGAAATGCTTGTTTGAATTTCTTATAAAATTCAGCTACAAGCAGTATACTCAAAAAATATCCCTACTACCAGATTACAGTTAAACAGCATCAGGATTTATTGGAGAATTTCTAATTTTATTTTGTTGACATAGTGTTTTTAATGTCAAAAATCTGTACTGTTCATATTGGTTATTAAATTTGGAATGTAAGACTCTTTGGTCCTACAAGAGCTGGGTCAAAGCAGGCATTTAAAAAGTCCAGTTGCCAAAAGCAGTTGCTGACGCAAGGTTCTCCATTTTATCTTCAATTACATACAATACTATTATTGCATTTCAGAAGCTTTTTAGCAGAGATTGTGTTTCCTGGGGTTTTTTTGTTTTTGTTTTTTTTTAAATTGTGTCAGGTTCTTGTGTACTGTCAAAACTAGGCAACAGGTTTTTGGAGAAGAGAAATTCTGCCTTGGGAGTTAGTCTTATTTTTCCAAATCCTTTGTGCTTTACCCAAAGACATTAAAGACCCCTTGCCAGACACACACACCTTCAGTTCAGTGGAAGTTCTTCATAGACCACAGTCAATATTTCACTCACAAATTAATGGGCAATATAGGCACATTTAAAATTGTATTTAAATGTCTGTGATACTGTGCCCCAACATATGGCTTCAGAACTGCTGTCACTAAGAGAATGAGTAGGATATGGATGAAGATTTTTTTCTACAGACACTGCTTCACATTTTCTGACGGATTTTGAGAGCATGTTATGCTGAGCAGCTCAGCACCTTGCAGAGCAGAAGCTCTCAACAGACCTCAGCAGGAACCCTAGCAATGGAAGTCAGACTCCAGAAACTTTAAAATAGGCAACTACCTCCTCTTCCTTTCCCACAGACTACTTCACATGCTTCCAAAATTCTGGCTTATAAAATTCTTTGCCTTGCCATAAGGGTGCAGCTTATAACATGGATGATGTGGACAAATATATTAAGGAAACCTTTTTTTAAATCCCCTTTTAATCAAAGCTTCTATTGAAGAAATAAATTAAGGTATTTTAGAAAGCCCATTCTAATCAGGTATGATTTACTGGACTGATAAAAAAAGGATCTTGGAACAGAGCTCAAAGTCATTTAAGGCTTTTTGTGTCATAAATGACTTCTTTTATGTTGTACACAGACCAGTCATTTAAGGATCAGCTGCACTGGGAATCAAGTTACTGATTATTTGCTCTGATATTCAGGTCTATGATCTTGTTCAGAAGCAGCTGAACCCCCCTCGTTTCTCAAAGGTGGAACAGAGACAGATACCAAATTCATTTGAAAGGAGGAGAGGCAGGAGGCTGAAATACTTTCCTTGCTCTTTTTTTTGGTTCAGACATTTTTACAGCTCAGTAAGTTAATAATCTTGAAATAATTCTTAATGCCCTCTCAAATCAGTATTTCTCAAAACTAAAGTCTTCCTTCCTGACTTTTCTAGGTACAGCAGCATTCTGCTATTTTGGAAAGAGCAGCTTTGAATATTCACTGCAATATGTCATAATCCCTATGGGCTGTGTTGCTTCACCCTTGTGTCATCTGTGATCTATCACCAGTTTCCCAAGTTGCTCTGCAGCTATTATTATAAAGAAGTTAATTTCTTTAGTCTAAAACAAGATGTGCTTCCAATGCACTGCTCTGAATAAATACATACAATGTGTAAAAGAGATCAACATTAATCCAGTTGTGACTGTCACCACAATTTATTCACCAGCTGGACTTCAAAATATATACATTTTCTCATTTTCTTTACTCATCACTGCAGATTTTTAATCTGAAGTGGATCCCACAACTGTCAGGCACTTTTCCTAGATAAGAAAATCATGTTTCCTCCACACTGTTCCCTTTACATAGAGAAATAATTTTATTCTTAAATTTTCACAAGATGTCAAAAGTTTTTTTATAAAGTTTCAAAACATGATGAGCCAAGGAAATGACACGGATGAAATCACCTTTGTGCATATTAATATAGGCTTGGTTTGGATACTAATTGTGAAGAGGGGATACGAAGTGCAGTGGAAAGGTTAGTCAGAGGCTAGACATTCAGGCTTTTTTCATCTTCTCAAATTCCACACCTCATGCAGGTATCCCTGGTTTTGGATGAAGTAAGCGTCCTGCTGATAGCCCAATTTCTCACTAATTTTGCAGAAAAATTGAGCTGCATTGAAGAATAATGCAGGAAGTGACATTTTAGTTACAAAAACAAGTAGGGGAACTTAAACTCATTGAGTCACTTTTGCAACACACAGGCAGCACAAAGTTCTTTTCCTTTGAACCCATCCCATCCCATCCCCACCCTGTGACACCACCCTTATGCAAGTACTGAGCCCAGGAAAATAGAAAGGAGAGCTTGAGGGACTGGATGT